TTTCCTTCCACCTTTCCCAGCATTGCAGCCTTCTTCAGAGAGCTGGGTCTTTGCATCATGTGTCCAAAGTAGGATAATTTGAACCTGATCATTGTGCCTCTGGGTTGATCTGTTTGATGATCCATCTGTTTTCTTGGCTGTCCATGATATTCTCAGGAGTCTTCTCCGACACCAAAGTTCAAAGGCATCAATATTCTTCCTATCCTGCTTCTTTAAAGTCCAACTTTCACTTCCATACATTGTCACAGGGAATACCACGGCTCGTACAATTCTGATCTTTGTAGGTAGAGACACATCACAGCATTTGAATCTCTCTTCCAAAGCCTTCATGGCTGTTTTACTGAGTGCGAGTGTGGTGTATTTCTTCACTGCTTGTTCCTTTACTGTTGATGCTTGATCCCAAAAGTCAGAAGCTATCCACCACTTCAATATCTTCATTGTCAATTCTAAGGCTGGTTGTTTTACCTGTTGTCATTAATTTAGTCTTCTTTATATTTAATTTTAGTCCCATGTTCTTCATTGTGCTCTTTGACTTTTAGTATTAGAGCTTGCAGATCCTCTGCATTTTTGGCTATCAGAGTAGTGTTGTCAGCATAGTGCAGGTTATTGATGTTTCTTCCTCCAATTTTAAAACCACACTCATCTTCTTCCAAAAAGCTAAATATAGGTAGTCCTCACTTACAGACCACTTGTTCAGCACCATTTAAAGTTACGACAGTGCTGACCAAGGAGACTTAGAACTGGTCCTTGAAGTTGCAGCTATTGCAGCATCCCTGCAGTCATGTGATTGTGCTTTGGGTGCTTGGCAACTGACCCACATTTACAATGGTTGTAGTGTCCTGCAGTCATGTGATCGCCATTTGCAACCTCCACAGCTGGCTTCTGACAGGCAAAGTCAATGGGGAAGCTGGCAGGAAGCTGCAAGTTGCGGTCACGTGATACTGTGCTTAATGACTCATGGTGATTTGCTTAACGACCACAGCCAGAACTGACCTGGTAACTCAGGTGCAATCACGTGACTTTTCACTTTATGACAGCGTCGCTTAGCGACGGAGTTGTCAGTCCCAATTACAGTTGGAAAGTGAGGACTACCGGTATAGCTGCATTTTTCTTCCTTTATCTCATGGTCCAGTGTCTTCAATTTATTACTTTTTACTCCCTTTCTACACTTTGCACAATGTTGCTTAACCCAATGGGCATGTGTATACCTAGTAACTAATTATCAGAGCTAACAGAACCTCTGAGCAAGATTTGCTCTCAGTGAGGCAGATCACAAGGGGCAGGATATTCTGATTAGCCCTTTCACACTGCTACTTTTATATTTTTCTGGCTTAGATAGATTGTAAAGGCCAGTTCCCAGCCACAGAATTCTATTCCCATCAGCTGTGGTCAACAACTCACTCTGGCTCCACAGATTGACTTCTCTTGTGAGGGAAGATGAGCAGGGAGACTGGTTCCTACAGGGAACCCCATCAGCTGCTTTCCTGCTGTACACTTTCCACAGAATGACACATTGGCTACTGGAAAGCCAATCTGGCTCCATGCCTCCTGTAAGAAATGCTTAGTACTGAGGGATTCTTCCTTAGACTAAGATAATATGGTCTTAGAAGTCCTAGAAATAATCACTTGGCCAATAATGTCAGCTCTGATGGACAAGATTATCCTGCCACATTGCACAGGGGGACCTCTAGATGCAGGATGTGAATTATGTACATTTTCTTCTAAAGACTGAATAACAAGTAATCACTCACCACCTACTGCTGATGCTGTCTTGTGATTTGCAGTGTGTAGTTGCTCTTGGTTCTGGTGGGCTCACTTCCTCTAGATGAGACAGGGAGGAGTGTGAGGGGGAGAAGCCATGTTGTGGAGAGGACAATGTGTGGCCCCCAGAGCCTGGCATAATGCCAGCATCCACATCTGCCCCAGAGCAGCTGCCACTTAGTCGATTAGATGCCCCTGTGCATCGAGCAGAATCCCCTCCCTCCTTGGCTTCTTGCTTTCGTTTGCGGTACTCCAGCAGAGACACCTATGAGGGAAAAACTATTATCAGTCTAGTTGAGACTGAGTGTGGGTAAGTAAGGATAAATCAGGATATGGTAATTATTTTTCAATAGAAATCAATACAAATGCCACAGAACTAGATCTAGAATTAGCCTAACAAACTGATGTTTGCCCAATTTTCAGATTAGGCTGACTCAAAAATCCCCCATTTCCTAAGATGAGAGGAAGCCCATGAACAAAAGCACAGCAGAAAATGAACAACATGTATCCTACAAACATCTCCCCTGAACCTCAAGATAGTGATTTATCTACATTCATAAATGTCTCAGCTACCATTTTTATCAAATATTATATGCTCATACTTCTTTCAGGATCCTCCAAACTGCCTATTTCTATAACCAGCTCATCCTTCTATGCACCTTCCCTTGCCCTCTCCCTTCAGGAATAATATTTTCTCAGTCCTAACTGCTTCACCCTCACTTCTCCCTCCCCATTTCTTTCACACTCACCTTTTTTCTTTGTGGAGGGTTCTGGGGGGCAGGTTTAACTCCTTCACAAGTTCTCTCACTACAATGGGCCACTGAGCCATGTACTGCTTCTTTAAGAATTGTCTGCTCATGCCTGCCAAAGTATCCCTCTGCAGGAGAACTGCAGCTGCCCGTATCTGGATTCAGAAGCTTCCCATCGGCCATCTGGGGAGATTCTCTTAGTAATCCATCTGCCCGGGGCATAGCGTTCAAAGGGGAAAAGGCATACATTAAGTTAAACTCTGTCCGAAAAGCTTGGTCAGAGTTTCTGAGCAGAGTCTGGGTTTCCCCGCTCTTTCCCAAGAAGCTGGTATCTGAGGGCTGGGATGCTGGGTCAGAATGCCCCGGGGTGAGTAACGAAGGTCTCTCTAGGCAGCTGTTAGCACCGGTGTCCAGGAATCCTGCCTTTGGCATGTCAAGATCTGTCCTAAGGCAGAGCTAAAATAGCCAACAAGAGGGCATGGGAGGGAGGGCAGGGAAGAAAAGGATATCAAACAGGATAGAGAACCGGGTAGGAGGGGCACAAAGAGAGAGAAAAAGAAAGAAAGAGGTTGTTATAAAATATTTCCCCTTTTGACAAACAGCATACACTGCTTTCCCACTACTTGCTCCCTTTCTGCTCTGTTTTGCTTTTTACCTGTTCTTCTACCTGTCCAGTCAATCTTTTTCCTCTAGGCAGCAGTTTTCCTCAGCAAATGTTCAGGGCCCCTCCCCATCTGGGACGGACATGCTAATGCTCAAAAATGCCTTGGTGTTTTTGCAAGGTCACCCATTTCACATATAACATCACAACCATTTCAATAAAAGGGGAAGAATCAACACAAATTTCAAGGCAAGCAACTATGCCACACACCAGATGTTCTGATCAACCAGCTACTTTACAGTACAGCTATCACAACCATGCGTCATAGGCACACCTTTTTCTTGCAACACATCATTCAGAAATCTCCTCAACACAAAGACTGACAAGCGTAGATGGCAGAGTACAAGAAGCAACCATTAGATGATGGAATGGGAGGTTCTCTACATAAAGTATGTTAGTAGCCATCATTACAAGATTCCTTTACAGGAATCTTCCCCAAATATCTGTATAATTGCTTTAAAACCAAGCGGGAAATAAGGTGGATGGTGTGTTCTAATCAAAGGAGATGACTCTTTTGCATCCTGTACTGCTTCCTCCTTTTCTACTGCTTTCAAGTCCCAACCCTGTCCAAGCTATCGTAAAAGGGATCAAGTTACCTCAGCAGAATTAAGATAGGTGGGCCTGTAAAATATCTAGAGTGACTATTCATTCTGTTTAAAATGTAAAAAAAAAGTCTTTGAATTAACCTCTCCAACCTGAAACCGTGCAGGGTTAGTGGAGTACATTACCTCTAGCCCGTTTGGTCTCAAGGGCAGCAGGCTATGGAAAGCTGCTGTAGGCACTGCTGGCCGTGTATTTGCCTGTCATCCTTATGCTAATACAGTACATCACTTCTAGAGGTATATGCAATTTATCAGAATCTGCCTCTAGCAGTCACCCGTAAGCTTTTTTTTTTTTTTTGTCCACTGCAAAGTTTTCATAGAGCATTTCCATCCCAACTCTTTGCTTGCAGGCCACCAGCTTCAAACGTTGGCCCTCCCTCAGCTAAAAGTGCCTCCCTTTTCCATATACACAGAGAACTGAGGCTAAGATTCTTCATGCAACTCAGCCTGCTTGCATTTATACTAGGATATCATAGCTGAAGAGGTAGGGAGATGAGGATTGCTCAGTAACAGTACATTATTAAGCATGACTCAACATGTACAGGCTTCTATTAACTATGGGTAGCCATCTTGGTTTGAAATAAGGGTAGACAAACATAAAGACCACATAGGATATCTGGGTAGCTTACAGAACTGAGAACACTGTACAACAAAAAATGCAATGTTTAGAATACAGGCACAGTGAAATGCAATCTCAAACAGCTTATTCTTTAAGCAGAAATATTAAGGCTAACCCTTCTAACAGGCTTCCCTAGTCTGCTGGCCAACTCAGTCATGGGGACTGAAATTCCAATTTAGCTGGTGGCCACCAGGTTGGAGAAGGCTGCCTTGAAAGCTTAATAAACACAAGCCCTGTCTTAAACACCTGACAATAGAAAGACCATCTTGATCTTTATATTACATTACTTAAACATTTATTTTATAACAGAACTGACATAGTTTACTACTAAACAGTAAAGCAGAGCTTAAACATACAAACAAATTAATATGCACCTATAATAAAATATCCCTGGATCTGTAACAGCCAGTCCAACCAACTATCCCCCTTTTCCCTTCTAAATTCTATTACTTTTTTGCCTCAGACTTCCCAAAAAACTTAATGAAAACTTCCTTTGTGTTGACTGACTGGCACCATTAGTCGGAATTCAGAATTTGTATCTTGAAGAATTTGGACTTGGGGGACAGAGCAGAAGCAAAATAATCTATGCTGCAATGAAACAAGGAGATGGATTCAACAGAATAAGCAGGGGCATTTGAGCTTACGCTGTTTTCCTTCCTTTTTTTTCTCTGCTCCAGAGAAATGCTACTTCAGGTGGATGAACTAGCATGTGTTATGCTTCCCTGTTCTCTACCCAAACCTATAACTACAAAGGAAGCTGACTAGTCCCTTCCTCCCCATCTACTTCCTTCTTCTCCTGCACAGCTTCCCCCCACCCCTCCTCCCTCCAAGAACACACATTTGCTCAACACACAAACCAATTGCACACACTCTCCGCCTCCAATTGAGATGGTGTGATAACTACCTCGGGCGACAGGGACTCGGGCCTATGCGCAGGGGTACTCTCAGGGGAGGATACGTTCTAGGAGGGAAAAGCATCTTGTTATTCATCTAATTTTACAAGTCAAGAGGCAAAATAAAACAAAACAAAACAAAACAAAAAAAACTCCAAGCATAGAGGTTAGCCACAGCTATTCTGGAGCAAAACAAAAAGAAAAATAGACTTTCCTAGGGAAGACCTCAGCAGTTGGGGCAACTAAAAACATTATACGGACTTTAGAGACCAATGAAGTAGAAAGGACAGAGTTATAATATCTCATGCTACAACTTCAGGCCCAAGTCAAGGGACAACATAGAAATTCAGAATACAGTCTTTTATTACCTTACGTCTAGGCCTCAGAAAGTCAGCCTGAGCTAGCATAGGACATTCTTGAGTGACAAAACCCCAAACAAGTCCCTACTAATACACAGCCAAGTCAGAGCTGACTCCACATAGCCTTGCCTCCAGGCAGGGTTTGGGGAGGGACTGAGTGTAGGAGCTTTTGGACTGAGCCAAAGGCGTGCCCAGCCCAGCCCAGCCCAGGGCTCCCAAAGTGACAAAGAGGAAGCTCAGAAGCAGGACGTGGGAATAGAACCTCTTGCTCATGTTGCTCAGAAACTGGAATTCAGAGACAAACTTCCTCTGACACTGAAGGCAATGTAGAGCAGTCGGGACTAGTGAAGTATGCAGGAAAGTCTGTTACTTCTCCAACAGGCAACCACAGAAGACATGAAGTTAGCATACTTACTTCACAGTGAGAAGATGGACATGAAGCGCAAGAAAGGTTCCTTTGGGCATACCATTGCATCAAAACTTCCTTCATATAAGTATTAAATTATTTCAGATGTATACAGTGCTGGGGATATTCTTCCTACTACAAGATGTATGCTGTGGGGAACTAGGCTACCCTCAAAATCTGTTGGCAATCATGAGAATCATGGTGGTGCAGTGGATTTGATGCTGGACTAGGAGTGGGGAAATCCACACTCATCCATGAAAGCCACTGTATGATTCTGTGTCAGTTATCATCTTATAACCTAATCTATCTCACAGGATTTGGGAGATGTTAAAATTGAAGGGTGGAGTACTATATATACTGACTTGAACTCCTATAGGAAAGGCAGGAAAAGTAATAAAATAATTATATATATATATATTAAATAAAATAAATAATAATAATCAGAGGATAAGAGCAAAAAGAGCCAGAATTTGGGCTCTATAACCTCTTGGTTACACCACAAGGGATGAGTTTCCACCTTCTTTACTTCAAGTATAGCCCAACTGCAATGTTCCTAAAGTAATTTAATTCAAATACGGTGCCCAGGAATTCATTGTTACAAAAGAGATTTCACACTGCAGGTATACAGTAACTGATTTTTCCCTGAGCGTACTCTCCAGGACCATTCAAATGATATACACATGACATACAGGAAGAATTGCTTAAAATAACCTCACCCTGTTGCAAGATATTTTGGAAGTTTATTTCATAATTGGGTAAAATAAGGGATCAGGCAAAATTTAACTAGTAGCACAAGTTCAGATAACAAAGAAACTGATCTTTGTCAGGGTCTTAACTACAGTGGGACAAAAAAGTATTTAGTCAGCCACCAATTATGCAAGTTCTCCCACTTAAAAAGATGAGAGAGGCCTGTAATTTTCATTGCAAGTTCTCCCACTTAAAAAGATGAGAGAGGCCTGTAATTTTCATCATAGGTATACCTCAACTATGAGAGACAAAATGGGGGGAAAAATCCAGAAAATCACATTGTCTGATTTTTAAAGAATTTATTTGCAAATCATGGTGGAAAATAAGTATTTGGTCACCTACAAACAAGCAAGATGTGCAAGTTCTCCCACTTAAAAAGATGAGAGAGGCCTGTAATTTTCATCATAGGTATACCTCAACTATGAGAGACAAAATGGGGGGAAAAATCCAGAAAATCACATTGTCTGATTTTTAAAGAATTTATTTGCAAATCATGGTGGAAAATAAGTATTTGGTCACCTACAAACAAGCAAGATGTGCAAGTTCTCCCACTTAAAAAGATGAGAGAGGCCTGTAATTTTCATCATAGGTATACCTCAACTATGAGAGACAAAATGGGGGGAAAAATCCAGAAAATCACATTGTCTGATTTTTAAAGAATTTATTTGCAAATCATGGTGGAAAATAAGTATTTGGTCACCTACAAACAAGCAAGATGTGCAAGTTCTCCCACTTAAAAAGATGAGAGAGGCCTGTAATTTTCATCATAGGTATACCTCAACTATGAGAGACAAAATGGGGGGAAAAATCCAGAAAATCACATTGTCTGATTTTTAAAGAATTTATTTGCAAATCATGGTGGAAAATAAGTATTTGGTCACCTACAAACAAGCAAGATGTGCAAGTTCTCCCACTTAAAAAGATGAGAGAGGCCTGTAATTTTCATCATAGGTATACCTCAACTATGAGAGACAAAATGGGGGGAAAAATCCAGAAAATCACATTGTCTGATTTTTAAAGAATTTATTTGCAAATCATGGTGGAAAATAAGTATTTGGTCACCTACAAACAAGCAAGATGATGAAAATTACAGGCCTCTCTCATCTTTTTAAGTGGGAGAACTTGCACAATTGGTGGCTGACTAAATACTTTTTTGCCCCACTATATGGTAGTATCTTAATCATGCAATATGTTTTCTTCAACTTCAGTATATAGCTAAATGTGTCACTAGCTAAAGACCAGTTTACTCAAACTTTGTGATTAATCACATGTATCTACATTAGCTGATTTTGTGCAGCTATTGTGTTTTGTACTTGTGTATAGTTGATTACTTTGGCTTGGTTTAATAGTTGCTTGAATTTCTTTGATGTGCTTTTATCTGATGTTTAGGGACACACTATTTTATTTTAATTTACACTGTATGTATGTTTTTATAAACCTATGTAACACATGTACTTCTAGGCAGAATTTTGGAAATATGCTGTTTAACAATTCTATGTGAACGGTCTTGAAAAGGCAGCGGGGAAATAGCTTAAATAAAATAAATGCCCTAATGAGTAAAATAAACAACAAAGCCTCAGTACAAAACATGTAGATGGGAGGAATTTAATGCACCCCAGATCTTTCTTACACAAAGATGGGATGGGAGGACAAAAGACTCAGTCATACAAGTAGAAGCAGCAGTTCTGCTTCTACCAAAGACAAAAGGCTTTGTAAATTGACTAAGGTTGATCCTGACAAATACTCCTTTGGTGTCAGCTTCAAACTAGGAACACTTCAAATTGGGAGTACTTTAAATTAGGAGCACAAACTGGGTCAAGATAGCAACTTCCTAACATCTTCTCAAGTCAATACCCTGTAACACTGATTTAGTCAAGAACCCTCTGTTTCTATGTCTTCCAGTGAAATGTGATACTGCCTACTTATTTGTTTTTAAAACTGAAACAAATATGCTTATACTGTAGCTTTATAGGCAGTATCACATTTTCTTCTTTTTAAAAGAAGAAACGGTTTTTGAGGATTTCTTGGGAGCAGTTTTGTGGTTCTCTCCCATATGAAAATAGATTTGAGACTATATGAAAACTGTATAATGAAATGTCAGAAGCCAGAGCAATTGTTGAATAAGAAATGTGACCCCTGACCTCTGGATAGCAGTAACAGAATAAACATGAAAAACTAGTAAAAACTGCCAATTCTGGAAAAAAAAATTTTTTGTTGTAATTTAAAGACAAAAGAAACTGGATTATGAAGTCATGGAGTATAGGTTGTTCTAGTGAAGGTTTTTCTTGTAAGTCCAGAGAACACAAACCAATCCCTAGCAGTGAGCAGGTTGAAACTGGATCATAAGCTATACTAAACTCTGTAAGAGACAGGGGTCAAGACCTCTGAATCCTCAGTGATGACTGATTCAGCAACTAACAGAATAATATTTCCATCAAGTTCTGCTAAGAGGAGTGGCAGATGCAAGATAGCCACATCTTCCAGTACTGAAATATCAAACTGAAAGCCTCTCTACCTCACACAACAGATGGGACACGATCATGGGACACTTCAGAATGTCTTTGGGTTATTCTGTAAGAAACTTACAAAACTGCAACGTCTTCCACAGCTCACATCTGCCTTAAAATCTAAAATTTTACAAAAGGTTTGAAAAACAGAGGCAAACAGTGAAGAGAATAATAGTCTAATGAACCAGTCTAATGCAGATGGCAAAACTTGGGCTCAAGTATTGCTGAAGTTAGAGTTTACTAGGTGATGCATGCAGGAGATAAAGATTCTGTGTGGTTGGCAATATCTTTGGAAATTATCAGCAGAGGAAGGGGAAAGAGAGTTCAAGCAGTGGTTAAAAGGACATGAGAGGGAGCAATAATACCAGTGACTTTGCAGACTACAGTATTCATTAATGTACATAGCAATAAGAGAATGGATAATTCACTCTATTAGTATCTAATACTTGGAACTCAGAAGGTTCTCTTAACATCTCATTCATACACCTCTTATATTAACTGTACTTCTTCCAAGCAATTTTGATGCACATCTCCCAAGGTTTGCAAGCAAAGTTGCTTCCCCCACCTTCTAGCTCAGCTTACCTCAAACTGTAGTGGAGTATTGCAGCGACTAGCAGCCAAGGAGGGAATCGGGGAGAAGATCACACCACAGCCACTGCGACATTCCTCCTCTCCTGGCACAGATGAGGAGGACGTGGTTAGGTGTGGGCTCAGTGAATCTGGAACCAAGGAGTCAGGAAGCGGAGGAGTGACTGGAGACAGTGGCCTCAATAATTTAGTAACACTCTGTTCCATCAAATATCGAGACTTCCACTTCTTCAGGGGGCTCAATACATCTGAAACTTAACATACAATCTAGATGATGTTTACTATTATAAAGCCTTCATACGTGCTCAAAATTTAATCCCTCCACATGTACCCATAAAATTCTAATTTTGGCTCTTGCCACATTGACAATCACTCAATGCTAATGCAAAACTTCCAAAGAGGGACAATATTCAAAGGAGGACAATTTCAGGACTCAGTGGATGTTACAAGAATGAGAAAAGTGCTCAGCTGAAAGCAGCCAAATTCAGGCCTTGAAGTAGTTTTAAAAAAGGAAAAAGCAAAAAGCAAACAACCCCCAATTATTTGCTTTGTTAGGCTAATTCAGCAACAGAAAACTTGTCACAAGACAGAGCGGTAGTCAAGAAATACCTCAAGTCTTTACACAGCCAGTCCTTCCCTATTCCATACAAATTCACATTCATTTTCCTTGCCTTCTGAGCTGGCACTCGGTACACTCATTTGGCAGGTGGAAAAGCTGTTACGGACATATACCAAGGCTGAACAGAAACTAGTAACTAATCCAATATCATGCTTTTAGCAGCCTATTTATTTATTTATTAGGTTTATATCTTACTTTTCCATCTCCAATTTTCCCCACAACAAACATCACATGAGGAGTATGGACTGAAAGTGACTGACTGACCGACCCAAAGTCATCCAATGAGCTTCCAAAGATTCTGATATGGCCTAATGGCTAATCAGTAAAGTGTTTACAGTGAGCTCCCACGGCTGAGGATGTACTGGAACTTGGAAATCCCTGACCCTAATCTAAAATCTTACCCACCATATCACAATGGCTTTCCTATAAGACACACTGGTCCTCTATTACTCGTCTGCAGTTAAGTTCCTGCTACCAACAGCCAGGCCTCATTTTTGCACTCTTTTCACCTCCCAATTAATTTGAACTATCCTTAGTTATTTTGCTCTGTCATTCCCAGCCCCAAACTGTACTCTTCCTTTATGAGTTCTTATTAATTTCATTATCTCATATTCAAGTACTACTGTAGCAGTATCTTTGGGATAATGGCAACCTCTTTGCACAACAGAGACCAGTTCTCGATGACAAAAGGACTTTAAAGTCCCTGCATCCTTTTCATTGGAGGTTTTTCCTTTGTACACAACAGACCAAGCCCTTTATGTTAACTCAGTACACAGCTAGAAACATTTTTGGGGTTGTTTTACATGCAAAACATTCTGTCCTTAGATGTTCTCTAAGATTATAAAATCCATGCAATCAGCCCTGATTTCCATGGTTGGATCATTTATAACCCTTTGCCAGCTGTGCAGCAAGCTGTTTACAGGCTCCCATGCTGCCAACATGGGAATTCCAATTTCTCCATGTTCCAATGAGGCTCATTAACTCCCCACTGGCTGAAACATACAACTGTCCTCTCCTCTGTGAAACCTGATTGTTCCATTGGGCATTCCACTGCCCTCACGTGTGTCTATCTACTGAAGAATGATCCTCATCCTCCACCATTCAAACTGTTGCTCAACGGTGGCCCTAGATACCTATGAATGGAAGGAGGGAAGTTAACTGCTAAGAAGTCTTCAGTGGAATAGCTCCCCAGCTAAGTTTCTTTTTAACCCCATTAGTTCCTATTTGACTAAATGCTGAAAGTACTTTGAGTTGTTCCTCTCTGAGATGCTGACTTTCAGTCTATGAACAATCTCCTCTAAACAATTGTTTACAAAGCCACCCAGTTTCCCTCCATTCCTGGATCATGAAATCTCCTCATGGTTACATACAGCTGCCCTTCCCAACTATCCACCACACACTACAATATAATTTAATCTGAGTTGGAGCAAAAGACAAATATTCGTTGGGTTTTTTTTGTAATGCCACCAGACAGCTTCAGTGGGTCTCTTAGAAACCACTCCAAATTCACATAAAGCTTTTCGTTCATGAGAAAAACCTTCTACTTTTTTGCTCTCACTCACTCAACATTGCAAATTTGCCCAGAACTAGTGCTTTGTCCACTTTAGATGGCTCTAACCTTTGTGCAACAAACAGTTATCTGTACACTGCCTAGGGCCTCGTCTGACGTCCTTGGAAAACTGATCCCTGACTTGGGGAGTTCGCCACCCTCTTCCTCTGCAAAGACAGATGCAAAGTTACTATTTTTAAAACTCAGCTTTTTGCTTCGCTCACAGATGTAGCAAGGTAGCTGCTCTGCTGCAGAGTGGCTGCTCTGTAACCAGGTGCCCACTCGTTAACCAATTATCTCCCTAGAAAGCGTTAGGAGAAAAGTATTAAGCATAAAACTCTTGACTTTTCATGCAGTACACTTTCTGTACGAGTACCCATTCCTCGATCTTGATGGAGAAGAGGGCCCTTTACTCAGGTGTGCACGTTAAACTCATTAATCTCACCCAAGGCAACCACCCAGCAAAAGGAAAGCCACCCAGGCATCTTGCATAGGTCTGCTGCATGTCATTACAGCAGCTTGACAGGTGAACTAAGAAATGCAGAGCTGAACAGGATCGTGTAGGGCAGGATTTAAACAACTGACTTTTAACACTCCTAAGCTCTCACTTAATCACAAAATCTGCATCCACAGTTAGGGGCACATTGTGCAAAATTCATATCCCTTATCTATATTATTATTATTATTATCGCTCATTAACCCCAATCATGGAGAGATCTTTTTCTTTAAGTTTATGGTGGCCATAGCTGAGTAGCTGCAGGACTCTGTTTATAAAAGGTTATTTTAAAATAATAAAAAGAGTATTAGTCTTCAGGACTAAACCCAAATAGTCTCCCTCCCCGTTAACGTATCACTGAAGTGTGAAGACATCTCAACCAACCTGTATTTTCTGTGCAAATGCCAGAAACACTACTACTCTCATTGCTTTGGTATAGACACTGGGTTCTGTTCTCCTGGGAAGCAGGTGAGGTCTGAGTCATTCCTTCTTCCAGAGCCTGCTTCATCCAACGCTGTAAAAACAAACTCTATTGAATGAATATTCTTTCCATGCTTTTCAGAGACTTTTCAGAGGTTTTCAACAGACTACCTCGATTCCAATGGTAGTATTCACTGCTATCTTCTACCAAAGATAAGTTAAACTTATAAGCAATATCTCTTTGGATAGTCTTTCTTACTCTCTTTATTTATGTACTTTTCACAGGATTCATACTTGAATTGGAAAATTATGGAATAGTGGAAAATAAATTAAGAATTATGAGGAAAGGGGAACCTAACTACATGGAATGGAATATGGAAAGATAATCAGTGCAGACTAGATCTACCACTCCACAAATACTAAGTGCACTCACATCATAAAGTTTTAATGTATTTCTAAAGCACTAAGAACTAGACACATTTTTTATAAAATAAGAGATTTGTAATCCACTTCATTATCAGATGTTCGTGCTAATAAATTGCCAATACTGCAAAATTAAAAGATCACTCCTATTCTCTTTACAAACTCTCAAGGTTGTAAAACCAGAGCCAAAACTTTCTCATTTTAATGAAGCACATTATTAATGTTTTAAACCGGCCTTCCTTAACCTAGGGATCTACAAATACACTGGAATTTAAAGTGTCAAAATTCCGACATATATTTGGACTCCAGATTGGAAAAGGCTGCTCTACACTGAAAGAAGAAATGCAAAGAAAATTATTGGTTTATGTCCAAAATCAAAGAGCTACCTAGTCAACAATTTCACATGGAAATGTGAATTTAATTCAGCAGGTGCAACTCATCCTTCTATGTCAGATTTCATACAGGCCATGAAACACATTGAGTAAATCCCCAATTGGGGCATGAAAGGTGGGCAGGTGAAAATATGTAAATCATGTTGGTTCAGATTCACCACACAAATGTATATTCTTATAATTCTTATATCTTAAATTGATATAAAATGAGAGAGTTTGTCTTCTTTTTAAGAAAGCAAGTGTTTAACATTTATCTTCAGCAAATTTTGAAAGTGCATTAGGTAGGGATGTGCAACTACTCTGTGCATGCATTTTCAAGCATGCTGGGCCCAGACTGAAGTACATGTGTTTTGTCCAGACCCAGAGCTGAAACATGTTCCAGTCAGAAGTGTCAGGAGACTGGGAAAAGGTAGGCAATCAATGGCAGCAACAACTAAGATCTGGTAAGGAAAAGAAGCTACTGGGAAAGTTGGGGGAGGATTGGATGTGCCATGCTTGACATAGCTAAGAGGAGACAGGGAAAGGAAGGGGCTGGAATGTCTAGTGGGCAGGTCAGCATGCAGGCCATATAGAAAATGGTGAGGAGCACCAGCTCTGACCTACTTGCCCTGTAAGAACTCTCCAAAATTTGTTTTATTAAAATGTTCCAAGTTTCATTTTGGCTAAATTGTGACCAGCCAGAACATCTTCCAAACTGTGTTATGTTTATTTTGGGTTATAAACAAAACATATTTTCCATTTTATGCACCTTCTTAGCATTAGCCTTTTAAAGACTGAGAAATCAATACAGGTTTCTGACACACAATCCAATGTACAGAAGCTATGATTTCTTTAAAAGAAAATTTTCCCTGTAGCATTTTTTAAAAACTCTTAATTTATTCTCCCCCTTGATCCTTGCTAAAATACAAAAAAAAAAAAAAGTCAAATCAATAATTAGGTTTAAAAATTGCCCTCATATTTCATGATATCTACTGTTAGGATTTCAAGTTTAAAAACTACTGATTAACTTTATAGTCAGGAAACTGAAGGTCTTAAAACAATGCACAGGGCATTCTGGAACCTATAAGTAACATTCTACAGTTCAAAGCCTTCTGGACACCAAGGCTGCCAAGCGTATTGTTGAAATTCCTCATAAAATATGAAAAATGCTCTAGGTAGTCTAAGAGCTGGAATTGTCTTTTAATGCAAAATATAGTCAAGGAATTTAGACATACACGTTTATAGCCTAGAACAGTATTTCTCAACCATGGCAGCTTTAAGATGTGTGGATTTCAACTCTCAGAATTCCCCAGCCAACCTGGTGAAGGCTAGTTGGGGAATTCTGGGAATTGAACTCCACACTTCAAAGTTGAGAAACACTGGCCTAGAAAATAAACCAAAACTTAAACAACTACAGAAGTCTGATTTTGATTTAAAACAGGTATCTATTCTGTGAGAGATCACTACTGATACATTACAGTGAGTATTTCAACATCTAACATTGGATTTTACAAAACTCTCCCCCTACTTTGTTCTGTGTGTGGAATGTGTAGTAGTTTATTTTTTTGAAGGAGGACTAAATGCATAGACATAGCAGAAAATATACCTTTTTACATGAGCTGTAATTCCCATCCAGCTGAAATGGCTGCCTTCGCCTTTCTGGGTTGAAAGGAGAGCCAAAACGGATGTAATGTTTGGGGGTGGTACAAATGAGTGGGGAGTGAACAAGGCCGGGCAACATATTCAGGGTGGTAGCCAGCACAGTTGGGTCGGTGGTGATACGTAAAGGACACTCGATGGGGCACTCCTGCTTCTCTGCTTTGTCATTCAGCCACTCTGTAACTAGATACTAGAAACAGAAACAGATGTATTTTACTATACAAAGATAGTAAGAATGCGCAAACATTAATGAGACAATGAAAAGAGGCAGAAATACCATGGACTGGCATTTTTTTTTTTTTAATGTTGGAAGCTGCAGATATTCAGTTTGGAACTTTGTCTAAATTGGTTCTATCACTACCCTATAGCTCTATCACACACTGATCTCATACTAAAATTCCAAATTACAGCGAACACTCACAACCGCAACGATTTTTTACTGTCCTTCAGCCTGATCCTGATTATAAAACAAAACCAACTCAGTATCTTATGTAATTAAACACCAGGTTGATTAATGGATTTCAATATAATTTAATTTTGTATGCAAATGTAATCTTTACTAATGTAGCTGTTAATTATGTAAAAGAATTCTCCAAATGGGTTTAATTCAAAGAACATTTATGCAAAAAAAGATCAAACACTCAAATAAATATGCCAGTTCATAGGTCTTTAAGAAGCCTTCCAGATCTTACACAACAAAAGTAACTTGATACATTTTTCCTCAAGTCATGTGTGTTATAGTATTGTTTAATATCACCATATTTATGATGGATTCTATAATGCTGGGGCTGCAGATTTAAAATGTATTGTAATTTCAGACATCATGTGCATCACATTTAAAAAGATGGTACATTAACTAAAATATAAACAAATGAGTGATGACTTTAAAACTGATTATGAAAATGCCATTTTTGATTTTGGATCAGAAGACATGCAATTTTCCCTTAGCTTCAATATACTGAGTATATGACTTTACTTGATATATTTGCTTGCTTCACAATCTGACAATGCTAGGTTGACATCACTTAAGATTATTCACTGTTGATATTCTTGGTTAGCTTTTACAGTTCATGTTTTATTTTAACCTACATTCCCCTTCATAACTCTGTGGGAAAATTCTGATTTCTGTACTGCCTTGCCAAAAAATAATCTTGTAGAAAAAAGTGCACTAATGGCATCATTTTTACTTTTTGTCTGCTCAACTTTAATAACCTTGTTTTTTTGGACATAGATTTGTTGCAAATTCTGTGGATTATCAATACCGTCAGATACAACTCATGCATTACCCTTCCTCGTGAGATGGGTGGTGGCTGAATTTGAAATATAAATAAATAAATAAATTTTAAAAAATTATTATTTCAGACATTTGGGTTTAGCTGAATGCTGCTAAACCACCAAAGTTAAGTCCCCCAAAGCTTTTGCCTTTTATTTTAGATGGCTGACTAGTTATGAAAATCAGAGGAGGAAGACTGCATCAAATCAAGAAACATCCAAATATACATGCTGCTGACTGCCTTTTTTCCTGTTAGATGTAATAAGACATTAGCCGTAAGCAAACAAACAAGCAAAAGAAACATGTCACATTATATGAGCTACAGGAAGCAAAGTTACCTTCTTGAGGTTGTAAGAAAGGAAGCATTTACCTTTTTCGTTTTAGGGTATTTGGGTGCTGCCCGGTTGGCCTGGGATCCTGCGGTGGCTGTCACAACTGGATCCGAGTTCACCACCTGCTGCCTCCCCTCTCCTGGGCCCTCCACCCCGCTCACTTCCGCTGCCGCTGCCGCACTCGCGCCACTTCCTTCCTCTGGAGCAGCCTGAGAGAGTTCAGACTGCTGGGCACTGGCAGCTTGTTTTTGTCTTCTCAGTCGCTGTGCTGAACTGCTCCGGTAACGCGAAAAACGGCTTTTGGGCCTGGGCCTCGGTGCTTTGGGTGGTGCTGATTTAGGGACTGGCTTATCTGTACTTGTCTCCTGCAATGTAAACCACTGTTGAAGACAGGGAATTCTGATTCTGCTTCCTACTTTGTTACACTCTGCACGAGCTGTCTACGCAGGTTGAGAGTATGAAGGCAGTGTCTTGAACTTAGGATCTAGCTTGAAAAAATGTTCTCGCTCCCCCTTTTGAGGGACTAAGGCATGGAAAGAATAACGTATTTTATGTCCCAGGAAAGTATGCAAGGCAACTTTCTGAATGAAAACTGTACTGATTCCGCATCTTTGTAGACAGCAATTCAATCTCACAAGATGGGATAACCTTTCTTTTATTTATCAACATGCCACATGAAACTGTGACTCCTCCAAAAGTAGCACTCATCTGGAAACAATGAACATATCTGTGCCACCACTGCTGCCAGCTAAGGGCTCGTAGCAAGCTGCCATGCTGGTTCAAACAAAAGGTTTGCTTGAACAAGAAAAATCACAAGCAATCCTTGATGAGAGACAGGAATTGTATTTTCCAAGCAAGCTGCTGGGTTTTTACTCTGTCAATGAAATCCACCCTCCAAACTTAGCAATTTTCCAAACTGATCTTCAACATTTCTATTGTTCTTCTTACCCCAGCCTGTGAAGATCTCCGAGTGTTCACCCCAATGCTGCTGACACAAGTTGGAGCACTTGCCACAGAAACATTTAAAGCCAAATTGCTATCTTCATTTTCATTTGGCACAGGTTTTACTTCTTCTGGTTCTGGAGTCTCTGCAGTAACCACTATTTCTGCATCCGTGCTGCTCCTATCTGAGGGCAGATCTCGCCTCCTCTTTCTTTTTTCCAGATTCTCAAATACATGCATGATGGCTTCCACCTTTCTATCTTCTCGGGTCTAGCACACAGAAGCAGAAATCAAGGTCAGCAGGATGGGCTCAGTGGGGGATAAAGTGGGGTTGGGGCATGGTCACGGGGGGCACGGAGATAACTGCAGAAATAACACCTTAATACCCAGACTTCCTGTTTCATGGATCAACTTGTCAGAACAGTGACTACAAGGAAGACATGTGCTTCTGTATAATGTAGTATGCTCTATTACAATGTAACGGATGGTTAAATTAGTATACAGTTGTTCTGAGGGCAGGGAATACAGAATTGATCTCGTTGATTGGAAACAATATAAGTAAAAAATAGAGAGACAGCTTGGTGTAGTGGTTAAGGTGCTGGCCTAGAAACCAGGAGACTGTGAGTTCCAGGCCTCCCTTAGGCATGAAAGCCAGCTGGGTGACGGGGTCAGTTGCTGTTTCTCAGCCCAACCCACCCACAGGGTTGTTGCTGTAGGGAAAATAGGAGGAGGAAGGAGTATTAGGTGTGTTTGCCTTGAGTTGACCAACTCCCCATAACCACTATCTCTGGAGACTTTATATCACACTTGAGACAAACTCTTTCAGCTCAGGTAAAGCGACCGTTAGGCAGTGGGATAATCAGCATTGTCACAGAGCAAACAGGGCAATAGTAAGGCCCAACATATTTAACCATTTTGAGTAGATTGGATACACTGCTATAGAACCTGTGCAACATACTGTATATGCAATTTTCTATGGTGGATTTATAACATTGCTATTTATAATAGCAAGAACAACCAAGAGGCACAGGCATAGGAAAAAAAGGATGATGCAGAGAAATTAACTGAGCTGTAACCTATCAGAAAATACTAAGAATATCCTAAGCCCAACGAAAAAGACAGTAGCCATCACAAAACAGTAGAAGAAAATATACTTGCCCGCCTGCCCTGACTGAGACCCCCCAGCTCATCGACAGCAGCTTCCTTCTCCCCTTCTTGCTTCTCTTCTTTATCTGCAGCCTGAAGAGAAAGAGAAGAGGCCTCAGAAACAGTCACAATCGTGAGAAGATATGAGGACCATTATTGAGACCTTTCAGCTTTTCACTGGAGGTTTGTTGCTCTTTGTCCAGAGAAAACATATTCATTCTGTGATCAAGTTTAACTAGAATTAGTGACCAAATCCCACTGCTCTAGGACGATGGGGACATTACCTCATTATCACTCACTGCAGCAAGACCCTCTGAGACTTCCTCTGTTTGTGGATTGCTGTTCTCATCTGAGGCTGCACCCTGCTGCTCCAGTTCCTTCCGACGGGCTTTCCGACGCCTAGTCTCTGCTCCAATCAGAGTGTCTAAAATAGGTGGAGGTAGCTGTTCTACAGGGTTCAGGCTCCGCTTCTGCACAGGACAATTCCGGTTTCCTTTGTGGCAGGCACAATCCACTTTATAGTTGCTGTTCCACCATGAAAGATATAAGGCATTATAGTATCATTCTTCAAAGCCTTAAGAAATAATGTGTTATTTGGGCTAAATGTCTAGGAAACAAGGAATCCTATCTCACGAGATGCTGCACAGTTTTTTCTTTAAAGGTAATAGAAAGGAATAATATTGAGGGAAGGATGTTTCCAATAAGCAAACAGCGCCAAGACAACTTACCAGATATTGTACTCATAATCAAAGGCAATGGTGACCTCTGCATCTTTGGCAATGGAAGCAACGGCATATATGCACAGGTGAATCATCCCATCTGCAATCACGTGGCGAACCTTCAACACACAACACCCTATAATCAGGCATATTTCTTACTGCAAAGGTGAACATTTTTCATGATTGTAAAAACCAGCTCTTGCAGTGGCTGGTTGCTCCTGAACAGCAAGTCATACAACACATGTACAGGAAACCAAAAAGGTATACTTTACTATCCAACATAGAATGCTATTAATGAGGACTGCACAAGCACATGGGTCGAAATTTCACCTACTGATGACACCATAAAGTACTAGTCTTTTTTTCACTGCAGCAATCCTATGACACAAAAATGTTCTAGAGCATTGGCATTATGAAACTCACAGGGCACAGTCTGAGTCCTCTGCACTTAATTGGCAGGGGATCATCTCTGCTTGATTTGTAGAGCATAAATTCAATCACATTTGCCAAATACTAAATGTCACATAGCACCATCATTTACCTCTGCATTTGGTGTACAGGAACGCCTGATGAATCTGGCATCATTTCCGAAAGTGCGGGCATCCACACACATCTCAACGCTATTAAATTTGGAGTAAAACAGCACAAAGGGATACGGCCTGAGAAAGGAAGAACAGCATTTTATCCTCCTGGCAAACATAATTTATTCGTGCAGCCTGAACAGTTGACCTGATGCATCACCGCATGCATCTGATCTTTTACGTAAGCATAAATTCTCACACAGAAAAAATGGCTCATATCAAAAGCATTCTCTCCAACCAATTCAAAATCTCAGAGGGAGTGCGTCATTTTTCAAGAAATAGCAATTACCAAAGTTTTCCCCAACTTTGTAACAGGCCTCTATCCTGCAATTATTTGGGTCTCTTACTTTTTGAAGAAATGACCATTGACCTCGAACTGTTGTCTTAGCATCACTTTCCCACGATATTCAATTATAAGGGTATCCGCAGCCAAATCTCTAGCTGCCCTCAAAATCTTTCGGTGCTTCTGAACCCGGGTTACTCTCCCCAGCTGCAGCTGCAAGATGGAAAGCAAGAAGTGAGGTCCCAAATCCAAAGAAAACATTTCCTAATTCTGTGTTTGAGAACAGTCTTATTGAATGATAAGTAGGATAAGGAGAAAATGATCATTGCTTCATACCTCCTCAAACTCTTTCATGTAAGGTTGTGTACATCTAAGAGCAGAAGAGCATCTCAGTAGTTGCCCCACATAAGCATATCACTCCCACTACTTTGGGATGCACTTCTTTACCTGCATTTGGGATCCAATAACTGTGTTGTTACAGGCCAATTCAGTCTTATTGATTGTGTCCAGCACCGCTGCCTTGCCCACAAACTCTTTATTAGCATTGAGATGACGCTCTAGGAGATTTTGCACATCAGCGCTGTACTGGTTTGTGAAGGCTTCTTCATACTGATCAGTCCAGAGTCTAATACGGTTTTCCCACCCCTCTGTGGTATTCTCATCCAGGGCGTGGGCTTCTGAAGGAGAATTCTGTATCAAACAACAGAGTCAGTTCAATGGCTGAATGGCTTGGGGCTCTGAAAAAGACACTTAGGACTTTTTGAAATGGCCCTCTGCTAAAGAACTATAAAAACAACTTCTTTATTCTTAATTAGCTTTCATCGACCACATTTTAGCTGTTCAACTGGTAACAGATGAAAAACTGCTAGGAAATAAAGAACTGGAAGAAAGTACTTGCAAACCCATTCCCAAATATGATGAAATATCGTTAGCACCAACCATCTTTACTGGTGCCTCATTCTTTTATGTTCAGCAAGCAGGACACTGTAGCCCTTGAAAATGACTTACTAAATTAATGCTACCTAATTTTATGTTACAGAGAAGCTTTTAAAGTGATGATACTATACATAGATCAATGACCCACATATGTAGTATATTTGGAACCTGGCTGCAAAGGTGTTTATCAGGGTTAAACATGTAGTTCTCCTCACCTTCATCCGCAAAGATTTCCGTGAACCTTCTCTAAAAGCCTGTCAGCAGAAGAAGAGAAATGACAATCAGTATTTGTCTCCTGGACATCTGAGCTTCTGTTCAATAAAGGTTACATTTTCTAATGTATAAAGGGGAGGGCCACACAACTACAATGCATAAAACCGGAAAAGGCATTGATCCCAGTTTACTTTCACTATGCCCCTCCTGCAAAAGGTCATCTCTTCCAGGACTTCCAGGACAACCTAGAAATATTGATCACTCCCTTTCCATTTATGCTGATCTTCAAATATCTATCCTACAAAACAAAATCAATTCGGCCAAACTGTATGCACAAAGAGTACTGTATTTCACTATATTATTCCTACGCAGCCCCCTTCAAGCCTGCCATGCTGCCTCATTGTGGCAGTGGGGTATTCCTAGGAGAAATGAGTGAAGAACAGCAGAAGTGGAGGCCAACAGTGTATACTCCCAGCAAGGTCAACCAATGTATGAAGATCATTCCAGCTGCCCAGCTAAAGGAAGCAGGTATCTGTACCGGGCTGCAGAGATACAAAAAGTTGCTGGAGGCAGATGATTATTTTAGTGACAATGGCAAAGACATCACATTGATATGTTCAGGAGAAAGTAATGGTATACCACTTCTACATTTTACCAAGAAAACTACATGAATAGGCAAGATAAAGTGATTGACCATGTTGGGTTGGCTGACCGGTCCTCAAGTTGTGTGGCATTCAACATGCTACTGAGGAAGACCTGAAGACCTTTTGGAATGCTAAAGGTGTTTATGTCATGGAAACAATAAAGTTTTTGGGACATCTCACTGTCAATGTTACAAAGCAAAAAAAAAAAAAAAGATCTGAAGATACAAAGACAGAATTACAGTGGGAACATGAAGCATAAGAAGCATGAACATGGGAAAGCTTAACCCAATGAAAGATTAAATGAATCAACTACACATTGACATCTCAGGAACCAGTGAATTGAAATGGACTGGAATTAGACACTTTCAGTCAGAAGATCACACTGTCAAGACATGGAAACAAAGAAGGGAATGGCACTGCTTTCATAGAAAGGATACAGCAATGGCAGTACTGGGGTACAACACAGTCAATGACCATATAATATAATTCAGACCTTGCAGACAACCCTGTAACATGATGGCTATCCAAGTTTACGCTCCAACCACTGTTGAAGAAGAAGAGGAGGTTGATTGATTTTATGGTCAAGTTTAATCTGGTCAAAAATGTGCAAGCAAGATATGTTGCTTGTGATTGGAGACTCGAATGCCAAAGTTGGAAGTAGTAAGGAGGAAAATGTTGTTGGACTGTATGGCCCAGGAAACAGAAATTAAGCAGGAGAATGACTATCCAATGATTGTTTCTGCCAATCCAATGATTTCTTCATTGCTAACACAGTTTTAAAACAACCAAAACCATACCTATGTACACAGACATCACCAGATGGAATACAGAGAAATCATATTGACCGTATTATTGGTACAAAGAGGTGGAAGAACTCTCACTTATAACAGCAAAGATGTGGTCAGGGGCTGACTCTGGAACAGATTGTGAACTGTTCATGTGAAATTCCAAGCCAAGCTAGGGGAAAAGAACAAAGCCAACCAGTTTCCACAATAGGATCTTGAGCATATACCCACCATTTTCAAGGAGAACATCAGGAATCACTTTGAAGTGCTGAACTTCACTGATAGGGAACCAGAGGAACTGTGGAATGAAATCAAAGAAGTTGTTAAGGATGAACATGAAAAGAGACTGCCAAAGACCAAGAAACAGAAGAAAGCACACTGGATGTCAGAACAGATGGTGGAAATTGCCAAGAAGAGAAGAGAAGAGAAGCTAAAGTGAAGAAAGACAAAGATCTCAGGAAGGAACTTAACAAAGAATTTCAAGGGAGCTGTTAGAAGAGACAAAAAGCAGTATTATAATGACATCTGTAAATATATTGAATGTGGCAATAGATATGGAAAAACAAGAAAAGTTTTCTAAAAGATCTCCAAACTGAGCAGGATGTTCCAACCTCAAATTGGTACATTAAAGGACACCAATAGTAACTGATTCAAAGAAAATAAAACAAAGATGGATGGAGTATACTGAAATTATGTAGAGATGTCATCAATAATTTAGAAAATATTCCCTATTTACAAGAACCTCTAGTACTAGTAGATTAAGTCAGAGCAGCACTCCAGTCATTACTAGTCAGAAGGCTATAGAAATTGATAGAATATCTACAGAAATATGGCAAGCAACAGAAGAAGAATTGGTAAAGATTTTAACCAAATGATGCCAGCAAATCTAGAGAATAACACAGTGGCTAGCAGATTGGATGAGGTTAGTCAACCAATAACAAAGGAAACTTAATTTAGTGTCCAAACTATCGTATAATATACTTTCACATGCTAGCAAAAATAATGCTTAGGATCAGCCAATGTAAATTAGAGTCCTACATGAAAAGGGAGATCTTGGATATTCGAACTGGTTTTGACTATTACAGACAGAGTTCAAGACCATCAAGCTGTGGGATATCCTACAGGAATTTTGGAACATTTCACTGTCCTCATGCAAAACCTATACATTGGACAGGAAGCCACAGTTCAGATATAACATGGCAAAGCAGCTGGCTCCAGGTTGGTGAAGGAGTGAAATCATGCTGTAAATTCTCTCCTTATTTATGCAATTTATATGCTGAATATATATTGAGGGTAGCTGGGATTGGAAGATGAGCATCGTTTTAAAATTGGATGAAGAAACATAATAACCTGTACTATGCTGATGGCTCTATTCTGATAGCTGAAAATACAAATGATCTGCAAGCTCCAGTAATGAAAGTCAAGGAGCACAGTGAAAAAACGAGACTAAGAGTAAATATAAAGAAGACTAATTAATGACAACAGGCACAGCAACAAGCCTTTGAATTAACAATGAAATGAAATGGAGAATAACTTTTTTTTTAGGATTGACTATCAACAATAAAGGAACCAGCAGTCAAGAAATATGCCGCAGACTAGCACTTGGTACAATAGCAATGAAGTCTTTGGAAAAGATACCAGATGCCGTGATATATCTATACCTACAAAGATCAGGATTGTGCAGGCAATGGTTTTCCCTGTGACACTCTATGGAAGTGAAAGTTGGATAGAAATGACAGAAAAAGTATTGACACTCTGGAACTTAAAGAGAGAAAGAGGAAAACCAGCAGCGAAGTGGATGGACTTGATTACAATGGTGATGGATGCATCACTGGGAGACCTGAAGGGCCAAGTTGGGGACAAATCATCCTGAAGAAGGTCTATTTATGAGGCTGCTAAGAGTCAACACCGACTTGACGCACAAATTCAGATCAGTTCAGAACAAATCATTCATTTGCAAAAGGCAGTGCCCAAATAAAACCTTTTACGTGATCTATAGCTCCTCCCAAATTAAAGGAAAGCTAGTGCCCATGAGCTGCTGCATGTGGTACTAAAAGCAAGCTAGAGTAGCCAACATAAAACTAAGTAACAACTCATTTACTTTGCAGCAACAGCTCTAGTAGGTACCAACATGCACAAGATACCCCCAGAGCCACCCGCCAGTTGTAGTGACTCTCTCATTGTCTTCCCATTGAACAAAACAAATGGGAAAGGCTAGAACATTGTAAGACAGCAGTTTTCAGTACATCTTTGTGTCTAAGAATGCCCGTGCTGGACCCAGAGGCATTCTTAGAAGATAAAAATGGTGAGTTTTGAGGAAAAGATGGAGGGCGATAGCAAGTATTGTATGGGATTAAAGGATAGGAGAGTTCTTAGGGACTGAATGCTATGTTGGTCTGCATGTGTGTATGCCTGGCAAAACACTCCCTACCTTCCCAACACTTTTCCAGTCCTCAAGGAAACTTGTGTGTATTTTCTTTCTCTCTGTATATATTAGGGAAGTACCCAGAATTCTGTGCTTGAACCCTTCTCTGCACAGAATGGCTGTTTTCAGATGGTCTGGAGTTGACTGCAACATGTATGTTTCAGATGTTTGGATCCACACACCAAAATGGGGCTTTTAGAGGCAAAAGTGACTGGTGGAGGGGAAGAGCAGGAAGCAAACCAAGGGCACTGTCAGCAGCTGAGGGGAATAAGGGAAGGGCAAGGCTGGTATGTATCGGCCCTCTGTTCCCTTAGCAGCAACTAGCAGAGCACTCTCTCCTGACTGGCTGGCCAGCCTGCTTTCCTGCATACCATCAACATCCTTGTTGTTTTCCTACTCTCCCCCCAGAATGTGTGTGTTTGGGTCTGGATGCAGTCACAGCTCATGGGAGTTATAGTGCATAATACCTGGAGAGAATCAGATACTATTAACCACTTCATAAGGTTACCTCTCCAAAAGGCTCGGTGTTTTTAAGCACCAATGCTTAAAATAAAAAAAAAATAGCTGTGTTTTGTTTTAATGACAGATCATGCTAGCCACCTTGAAATAATATCATGGATGAATTAGGATACTTTTAAAAATTCTCTCTGGAAGAGTGTTTATTTCTTGCCACAAATTAGACAGATCTGCACGGCGCGTTAGAAGCATCTGTGATTTAACTACAGAGCTGGGTTGTTTGGTGCAAAGGTATGCCATTCTCCAGGCATCCAAAGAGACTTCTGCTTGTTACTTTGTATATTTCCAGATTTGAATAATTAGGCCCCTCAGAGATTAAGTTCACAATTTAAATGCTTTTGGTTACAGCTGCTATTATTACATCTCATTCGTGCAAAGTCTCAGCAGCATTTCTCTAAGTTCTGCTTTAAGAATTCATCAAACTATTAGCTTACAAGCATGTTTAAAACAGCTAGACTGAGACATTCATGTCTTTATATTCTTCTGTGCTCCTGCTGTGAAAATGCTGTATTGCATAGACATATTTGCTTTCTAGCACCTACTGTGAACCGGAGAGGACACATCAACACAACACAACACACACACAACATTGAAGGGTTTTTTCCCAATCTGTTCCAGCAAACTTTTCAATTCCCATCAAAAGTCAATTCTTTGCAAGTGATAAAGACAGTATTACAGACCCTTGAGGTCATCATGTCTAACTCCATGATTGGTCCAAGAATCCAAATTCATGCATGTCCCAAAGTTGGCTGTTCAGCCTCCATCTAATCACTTCCAGTGAAGAAGAGCCCTCTGTAGAACTGTTTCCTCTTTCAAACTACTCTTAACATTAGGTGTGGCACCTTTATTACTGCACGCAATTATTTCTGAGAGATGTTTAGAGACATTTAAGCCATGTGTTGAGCAGTTTATGAGCGTGGCTTTGTGTTTTGTAATATAGATCTCATTTATGTCATTCCTGGGCAAGTTACTTTTACTCCCAAGAGTTTGCCATTCTGGGAAATAAGCATGTGACTGGCCACACCTATCATGAAGTAATGCTATGATCCTGACCGTAATTTTATGAATGGGCAATTCCCACCACCCATTCCACCCATATAGTAACAATTTTTTCAGCATGTCCACAAAGCTTGGACTTTGTCTTTAAATTCCCAATATACCTGCTGGCCCAAAATGATAAACCTTCAAAATTCTTATCTGCTAGATCAGCCACAGGATTCAGTCTATGGAAATTCAGATCAAAAGTCTGAAATCTGGAGCTAAAGAGACATAACTAGGGCAACAGAGGGTATAACTAGGGAACATGTCAAAATGAGACAAACCAATATTTTGTATTGTCGAAGGCTTTCACGGCCGGCATAGGATGGCTGGTGTGGGTCTTCCGGGCTGTGTGGCCGTGTTCTGGAAGTTTTGTTTTCTTACATTTCCCCCCCCACCCTCGTCCGTCCCCCGCTCTCCCTCCCGACTCCCCCGCCGCTCGCAGCTTTCGCCGCAGCGGGCTTGCCCCTGTCGTCCCCTC